TTACATTTTGTGGTATTATAAAATGTTTTATGTTATTTTTAGGGGTTATTTTGGGAACCACATTGCTCCGTATATGTGATTTTTTTCAGGAGCTTTCTTATGATCATTCAACGCTTCTCTCAGACTTCGTTTTTGTTTGTGTAGCTTATTGTGTTACTCAATATTCTTTCATTTCGTGATTTGAAGAACACTTTGGATAGATCTTGCCTAACATTTGAGGCTTATGCTAATGAGATCGATGGTGGAAATAATCCTCCTCCTTCGGTGCCAACTTCTCAGCAGAATCGTCTCATGCCCACAGTTGATCCCTTGACTAAGGTGATAATCGGTGCATTCCACATAGTAGTTCCCAATGTTGTTCCTGCTCATTCTCCCGAGCCGATGAATCGACGTTTTTCATAAGAGCATCTGAGAGCTCTTGGTGCTAAGGAATTCAAGGGTTTTTGTAGGACTGAGCTGATAGTTTTTAAGGATTGGTTGAAAAGTATCGTCAGGATGCTCGAGTAGATGGGTTACAATGATATGAAAAATTTGGGTTTCATTTTATCTATTCCTTAAGGTGATGCTTACCATTGGTGGTATACGATCAAGAGGGGTATTGTCATTGATCGTTTGACATGGGTATTCTTTCTTGAATATTTTTAAAGGAATTTTTTTAGGACCTAGTACACTGACACGAGAAAAGAGTTCCTAGATCTTTTTCAAGGTTATATATCAGTGTTCGAGTACAAGACTGAGTTTGTTCGATTGAGCAATTCTATGACTAAGATGGTTCCCATACAGGTGGAGATGTGTAAGTGGTTCAAGGATGGCTTGAAACGTGAGATTTGAGCTTATTGGTCACTAATGCTTCAGAGGTGTTTGATACTTTGATCGATCAGGTTAGGGGTGTCGATGAGACTTCGATTGAGCATTCTTGCGAGTCTTTTGGAAAGAGATCATGAGATGCATATGGTTCACATGGTCGTTCGTCTAAGAGAAGTCATGGTTTTTTTGGTTCGCATGGTCATCCATCGAAGAGAAGTCATGGTTTGGTTCGAGCTATGGAGATCATTGTGATTCCCATTTCATGAAAATAAGGTTGTGGCTACTCCAACTTCTAGGTTTGTTGAGTGGCCTATGTGATACTTGTGGCAAGAGACACAAGGGTGAGTGCTGGTGTTGTTCTGAAGCATGTTTCAGGTATGGATCCCATCAGAATCAATTGAGAGATTATCCCAAGCGGACTGATGTTTGAGCTTCTATGCCTGCTCCAGCTAGAGGTAGTGGTCGCGACAGCAATGGATGACATCATGGACAAGGACGAGGTAGAGGACGTGGTTGTGGTGCTCTAACTAAGATGATTGGATCTGTATGACCGTCATTCTATCAATTTGATCACATGTATCTTTTCCTTGAAGTCTTTTCCTCTTTTGGCACTGATTGATTATGGCTCGACGCATTGTTATATTATGAGTGATTTTGTCGACTAAGTATTCCTATTGAAACTAGAGAAATTGGAATGGTTGTTACTAGTGCTTTGGTTGATAGTGCTATTGTAAACAAGGTTTATAGGAGGTGTTCGTTGATGATTTTAGGTTTTGTTTTTTGGTTGATTTGATGGAGTTGCCATTTCAGGTTTTTTGACATAATTTCAAGTACAAATTGGCTGTGTGAGCTTAAGTTTCACCTTGATTTCGAGTAGTTGCGTGCGATTCTTAGAATTTTAGATGGTTTGGATATTGTGATTACTAGCGAGAGATATGAATTCCTCTCTTATATTTTATTCTTGCTTGAGGCGTATATAATGTTAGGTCGTGGTTGTGTATGCTTAACTGGGTGGTAAGAAGTTGAGGATGTAAGATATCTGGATTGTTAAGGATTTTCTTGACATGTTTATAGAAGAGCTTATGGGTTTGCCGTCAGATCGTGAGGTTGAGTTTCACATTATGACTTATTCTAATTCAACTTCGATATTCATTACTCCCTATCACATGAAACCTAAGAAAATGGAAGAATTGAAGGCATAATTGCAAGAATTATTGGATCAAGGTTTCATTAGGCCAAGTGTTTCTCTTTAGGGTGTATTGGCTTTGTTCGTAAGAAAGAAGACAATACAATGTGCATGTGTATTGACTATCATCAATTGAATAAGTTGTCGAGCAATAATTAGTATCCTTTACCGAGGATCGATGACTTGTTTGACCAGTTTCATGGAGCGACCATATTTTGGAAGATTGATTTGAGGTTGAATTATTATCAGTTGAAGGTTAGTGAGCCAGATGTGATGAAGACAACATTTAAGACACGATATATCCATTACGAGTTCCTTGTGGTGTCGTTTGGTTTGACCAATGATCAGTGAGGTAAAAACAGTGAGGTTTTAATGACATTTAGGATGTTTTTTTTATCTTAGTGTCGTATATCTTTTATTGAATGTTAGTTACTCACTTAGCCTTTTAAATCTCACACTCGTTAATATTTTTCAGATAAATAGAACTTATAAGGAGCTCGGGAGGGTTAGCATTTGGTAGTTATCATAAAAAGTGTAATATTAGAAATAAGGTTGTAAAATCAGGTAATCGGTCAGGTTTCAGTCGGATCTTGGCAGGTCGGGTAAAATCGGGTACAGGTCAATTCAGGTTGATTTGACACCAGATCCAGATCGGGTTCAGGTCAGGTCAAATCAGTTCGGGTTATTTTTAGGTTGATTTGACACCAGATCCAGATCGGGTTCAGGTCGGGTCATTTTCAGTTCGGATCAATGTCAGTTCAGGTAAAAACAATTCAGGTCCGAAGCAGATAAAGACCAGGTTAATTCAGGTTCGGGTTAACTTCAGTTGGATCTCGTTCAGATCGGGTCACATCATTGACAGATAAAATTCAGGTCGGATGTTTATCGGATACGGATTGAGTTCAGGTCGGGTCGTTTTATTTTTTTAGATTAATTATTTTGTCATATTTCGTGATTGTTGAATTGGAAGTTGTAATTGTATATGATTTCGAGTAAAATAAGAGAAAAATAAATATTCATGGATCAATTTTGTAAAAACAAATAAAATTAATGACAAAATTGAAGAAATGTAAAATTACAAATAAAATCTTAAAATATAAATTATTCAAAGTGAGTGGTGGGAGAAACCTTTTTAAAAGAAAGATTTTTTTGTGTGAACAATTTTGATTTTATTTGAGAATTTAGAGAGAAATTGAGAAATTTTGAGAATATAGAGAAATTGAGAATTTAGAGGGAAATTGAGAATTTAGAGGGAAATTGAGAAATATAGAGAGAATAAAAAAATTTGGGAAGTTGACGCCAATGATAGTGTCCAACAAAATATTTTTGGTTAATTAGGCTCATGCTCCTCCAACAATCATCATTTTTCCACTTGTATTTGATTTTTGATTTCTTTCATTTTAGTCATGGTTTAATTGTAAATATCTTCTTGAATTTTCAATTCGATGCAATTTAATCTTGTATACATTCTAATTACTTTTAATTATATATATATATATATATATATATATATATATATATATATATAAACTATATATGTATAAAATATATATAAAATATATAGTTTATAAATTATATTAATATAGTATATATATGTATTTTAACTAATATGAGTAATCTATAAATTATATATATATAGAGAAAGAGAAACACTATGCATAAACTATATAAAGTAATAAAGTATATAGTTTATAGAAACCCTAAACCCTAAACTTTATACACTATATATGTATAGACAGATGATAATTCATATATAGTTTATAACTTTATATAAACAATAGTTTATATAAATTATATATGTAACATTAACTTATAGTATATAAACAATAGTCAATATATGTAACCTATAGTATATGTATACATGTAAACTATATATGTAACTTATATTACATGTATGTATAAACTATGTATAGTATATATAAAATATATGTATAAAGTAAATTACTTATATAGTTTATAGACACACTATGCATAAACTATATAAAGTAATAAAATATATAGTTTATATAAACCCTAAAACCTTAAACCTTAAACAATATGCATAAACCCTAAATCATAAATCCTAAACATTAAAATATAAACCCTAAATCATAAAACCTAAACCCTAAACTAACCCTAAACAATATGCATAAACCCTAAATCATAAATCATAAACATTAAAATATAAACCCTAAATCATAAAACTTAAACCATAAATCAAAAACCCTAAACCCTAAACATTATGCATAAACAATAGTTAATATATGTAATCTATAATATATGTATACATGTAAACTATATATGTAACTTATAGTACATGTATGTATAAACTATGTATACTATATATAAACTATATATATATAACCTATAGTATATGTATATATACAATCTATTTATATGTTATATAAACTATATATGTAACTTATAGTTTATAAACAATAGTTTATATTAGTGTACTATATAGTTTATTCTTTATAACCTATAGTATATAATTTATAAACTATAGTTTATATTAATGTACTATATAGTTTATATTAATGTTAATTATCTTAACTATAATTTATATTAATATAGTATATAGTTTATAAACTATACTATATTAATATTAATTATATTAACTATAGTTTATAAACTATACTATATAATTTATAACATATAGTTTATATTAATATTAATTTTATAGACTATATTTTATATTAATATTAATTACAAATTATAAACTATATTATATTAATATATGTTAATATTAATATTAATATTAATTAAATTAATATTAATATTAATTATAATATATAATAATTATTTTTATATTAATTATAATATACAATTATTATAATATTAATTATAAATACTCTATTAATATAAATTATATAATGCGGTGACGCCAAATAACCAAACAAAAATTGTCATTTCCCTCCTATTTTTTATTTTTCTTTTGCTCTTAATTGTTTTCCTCTCCAAATAAACTATATAAGGCGGTAACGCCAAATAACCAAACCATAATTATCATTTCCCTCATATTTTTCTTTTTCTTCTACTATTAATTGTTTTTCTCTCTCCAAACAACCCATCGCTCCAACGATTCATTTCTTCTCCCTTCTCTTTTTCATTGTTTTCTCAGTGTTACAGTGAAGAACAAAGAAGATGACAGGCGGATCTAAATCCAATCCACCAAAACCTAGGAAGAAAGTCGACGCTGCTTCAACCGACGCAGCCTCTCTTGTCCGCGCCAAAGATGGAAGTGCTTTTGTCAAATGGTAATCTCATTCACCCTCAACCTAGGCTTTTGTTTCGATTTCCTTTCTGGGTTTTTGCATCATTTTGAAAATTTGAGTGACAAAGTTGTCTGTATTATGGTTGATTTGCATGGCTGGACTTTAGAAATGCTGAATCTTTATGGTTGTAAGATCAGCGATGCTAGTTTGGGTGCGATTGCAGATAACTGTCAATTGCTCAATGACCTTGATGTCTCCGGGTGTGCTATCACTGATTCCGGAATTGCATCTCTAGCTCGTTCTAATCAGATCAATCTGCAGATCCTTTTTGTGTCTGGTTGCTCTAAGGTCTCCGACAGAAGTTTGCCTTCACTTGGAAAATTGGGTGAGACCCTAATCAGTTCAATCTACAGATTCTAATCAGGAAATGGTATTTTTTTTTGTAGAATGCAGAATCTTCATCGCTCATGGAACTTGTAGGTTCTGGTAACCATGTCTTATAGTAGTATGGTTCTGAAGTTTTCTTTCTGTAATGTCTAATTACATTTCAATTAGGTATTTATAGAGGTCATACCTTTAAAAAAACATTGATAGAGGTCATTGTTAAACATGTATTTGAGAATATAAATATTAGCAGTAATTAGATATTAAGGGCCCAACTTGTATGATGATTGTTTGATGTTTTTCTTGAAGTGTTCAATACCTGTTGTAAGTGAATTAATGAATTGTCCATTCTTGGCTAAAAGCTTTTAGTGGACCGTACTGCTTGAACTTGAGGATAATAAAACTCAGGGAATGTGCAACAGGACAAACTAGTCAAATGTAACAGGAAATTTGCTTCTATTCTGAGTTATTATGCTTCTAATTATATCTTGTGATGTGTTCATATTGAATATGGCGAGACTGATGCATGGTTATCTATGGAACTAATGTTTCATCTGAGTGTTCTTCCCCTTACCCGCCAGCTGACCAATATCAGTGGTAATCTATGGGGAAAGACTCTCCAGGTGAGTACCACTTGATTCCCTGTGTGCATTTGTTTCAATATCAGTTCATTGACTTGACATAAAAACGTTCCTTTTTAGGGTGCTAGGGCACAAAGAGTAGAGTATCTTTTGTTGCACGCATTTCATGCAAAAAAGTATATTGTCCCAGACAAGTTTTCACCTCACACTAAGGAAACAAAAGTTTTGAAAAGGAGAATAACTCATGGTGTTGAGGATGGGAATAGGGATGATGTGAATCTTGAAGAGGAAGCTCATAACGAACGAGGAAAAGACAAAAAGGGTCCTGCCTATGCAGGTGGATTGGTTTTGGAGCCAAAAAGAGGATTGCATGAAAAATATGTATTGTTACTGGATTTCAATAGCCTTTACCCATCCATAATTCAGGTTAAAATAACCACCTCATGTCTCTTATCTTTACAATCAGATTTTTTTGCCTCTTGTTCAAGGTTGTGGTCTTTTATGCTGTTGTATATTTTTCTAATTAGTATGAGCTACTAATTTGGTCCAACAGGAATACAATATATGCTCCACAACAGTTGAAAGATTTCCTGATGGATTAGTTCCTTGTTTGCCCTCTAGTAAAACAGTTGAGGTTCTACCTGAGGTATAATCTCCTCCTGGTTTTGCTTGATTTGAACAGTTGAATTTGCCAAGTTCTGTCGAAACTTTATTACAATCTGCTTCTTTATTTGTGTTATAGCTGTCCATATAGTTCTTTAAGTAAATGGTCCAATTGTCTGGAAGTGTGAATCCCCAATATAATTGCTCTAAGTTTAATGAGGATTGTTGCCTTTGCCTTTTAGACATTTTAATTGCATTGATGTTTGGACATGTGAACTTTTAATTGATACCTCGTTGTCGATTAGGTTACACCATCAATTTGTGAGGTCTTTTCTTGTGGATAAAACTAGTAGACTCGGTGTTATATGTGTTTGTATAGATAGGAATTGGTAGAACAGTGAGAACTCTTTGATCTAATTATAATATTATGAAATTTTTACATCAAAAATTCCTGTCATTTACTTTTTTTTACAGTATCACATGTGGTAGTATAGAAAGTGGACATTAAAAGGTGTGTACTCTCTGTTTTTCATCACTTCTCCAACTATAAATCTTCCTTCAAATCTTTCACTTTTCTTTGTCTTCAATCTCTTGTTCCTTACAGTTTTCTCTCTTACAAGATAAGCTAAAATCAAAATGAACTTGGGTTAGTCATTTAGTCTCCCAGTTTCATTCACATTGTTGAAATTAGGTTATGGGTTGTGGGCCTTTTCCTTATAGTTTTTACTTTATTTTCCTAATTTAGAGGCTCAAGTTATTTTATATAATATTATTTTTTCTTTATATAAATTAAACTATATAATTTATATAAATTAAACTATATTAATTTTCCTTTACATTATTAATAATGTTTTATCTAATTTACATTTAAATAATTTTATTAATTTTATTAAATAATTTTATATAATAGGTCTATTTATTAATATAATTATAATAATAAATATTTTATTATAACATTTAAAAAGTAATCATATTAATATTTTAATTACATCATAAGCTAAAAAACTCATAATTTTATTAAAATCTTATAATTTTGTCCATGGTAATATATAAGTCAGGTATCAGATCAGATCATTAACAAGTCAGATCATTTACAAGTCAGGTTAAAAACAGGTCAGGTTAAAAACAAATCAGGTTAAAAATAGGTCAGGTTAAAAACATGTCAGGTTAAAAACAGGTCAGGTTCATAACAGGTCAGGTTGAAACAGGTCGGGTAATACCAGTTATTTATCAGGTCAGTCTCGGGTTCGGGTTCATATCAGTCGGATGCAGTTCGGGTTCGGGTATCATATTTTTGGTTCAATTTGGGTTCAGGTCATTCTCAGGTTGGATGCAGGTCGGGTTCGGATCCTTAATTTCCAGGTCCAAATCGGGTTCAGGTCAACACCAGTTCTGACTTGAGTCGGTTTTGGATCGCCACAGTACAGGTCAAAAATAGTTTAGACTCGGGTCAGTTTCAGTCAGTTTTGCAGGTCGGGTAAGCTTTTTACAGCCCTAATTAGAAATGTATGTTGGGGTTATGTTTTGAATTGATGCACAGCTGACCAATATCAGTGGTAATCTATGGGGAAAGACTCTCCAGGTGAGTACCACTTGATTCCCTGTGTGCATTTGTTTCAATATCAGTTCATTGACTTGACAAAAAAACGTTCCTTTTTAGGGTGCTAGGGCACAAAGAGTAGAGTATCTTTTGTTGCACGCATTTCATGCAAAAAAGTATATTGTCCCAGACAAGTTTTCACCTCACACTAAGGAAACAAAAGTTTTGAAAAGGAGAATAACTCATGGTGTTGAGGATGGGAATAGGGATGATGTGAATCTTGAAGAGAAAGCTCATAACGAACAAGGAAAAGTCAAAAAGGGTCCTGCCTATGCAGGTGGATTGGTTTTGGAGCCAAAAAGAGGACTGTATGACAAATATGTATTGTTACTGGATTTCAATAGCCTTTACCCATCCATAATTCAGGTTAAAATAACCACCTCATGTCTCTTATCTTTACAATCAGATTTTTTTGCCTCTTGTTCAAGGTTGTGGTCTTTTATGCTGTTGTATATTTTTCTAATTAGTATGAGCTACTAATTTGGTCCAACAGGAATACGATATATGCTCCACAACAGTTGAAAGATTTCCTGATGGATTAGTTCCTTGTTTGCCCTCTAGTAAAACAGTTGGGGTTCTACCTGAGGTATAATCTCCTCCTGGTTTTGCTTGATTTGAACAGTTGAATTTGCCAAGTTCTGTCGAAACTTTATTACAATCTGCTTCTTTATTTGTGTTATAGTTGTCCATATAGTTCTTTAAGTAAATGGTCCAACTGTCTGGAAGTGTGAATTCCCAATATAAATGCTCTAAGTTTAATGAGGATTGTTGCCTTTGCCTTTTAGACATTTTAATTGCATTGATGTTTGAACATGTGAACTTTTAATTGATACCTCGTTGTCGATTAGGTTACACCATCAATTTGTGAGGTCTTTTCTTGTGGATAAAACTGGTAGACTCAGTGTTATGTGTTTGTATAGATAGGAATTGGTAGAACAGTGAGAACTCTTTGATCTAATTCTAATATTATGAAATTTTTACATAAAAAATTCCTGTCATTTACTTTTTTTTACAGTATCATATGTGGTAGTATAGAAAGTGGGCATTAAAAGGTGTGTACTCTATGTTTTTCATCACTTCTCCAACTATAAATCTTCCTTCAAATCTTTCACTTTTCTTTGTCTTCAATCTCTTGTTCCTTATAGTTTTCTCTCTTATAAGATAAGCTAAAATCAAAATGAACTTGGGTTAGTCATTTAGTCTCCCAATTTCATTCACATTGTTGAAATTAGGTTATGGGTTGTGGGCCTTTTCCTTATAGTTTTTACTTTATTTTTCTAATTTAGATGCTCAAGTTATTTTATATAATATTATTTTTTTTTATATAAATTAAACTATATAATTTATATAAATTAGACTATATTAATTTTCCTTTACATTATTAATAATGTTTTATCTAATTTACATTTAAATAATTTTATTAATTTTATTAAATAATTTTATATAATAGGTCTATTTATTAATATAATTATAATAATAAATATTTTATTATAACATTTAAAAAGTAATCATATTAATATTTTAATTACATCATAAGCTAAAAAACTCATAATTTTATTAAAATCTTATAATTTTGTCCATGGTAATATATAAGTCAGGTATCAGATCAGATCATTAACAAGTCAGATCATTTACAAGTCAGGTTAAAAACAGGTCAGGTTAAAAACAAATCAGGTTAAAACAGGTCAGGTTAAAAACAGGTCAGGTTAAAAACAGGTCAGTTTCATAACAGGTCAGGTTGAAACAGGTCGGGTAATACCAGTTATTTATCAGGTCAATCTCGGGTTCGGGTTCGGGTTCCGGTTCATATCAGTCGGATGCAGTTCGGGTTCGGGTATCATATTTTTGGCTCAATTCGAGTTCAGGTCATTCTCAAGTTGGATGCAGGTCGAGTTCGGATCCACAATTTTCAAGTCCAAATCGGGTTCAGGTCAACACTAGTTCTGACTCGAGTCGGTTTCGGATCGCCACAGTACAGGTCAAAAACAATTTTGACTCGGGTCAGTTTCAGTCAGTTTTGCAGGTCGAGTCAGCTTTTTACAGCCCTAATTAGAAATGTATGTTGGGGTTATGTTTTGAATTGATGCAATGTGGGGACCTTTAGTATGTTGTATTGGTTAATTCTATTAAATTGGCACTTTGTTGGTGCTTATGACTTGTTTTGGTTGGTAAATTATGGTTTGTTAGTTTTTTTATTAATGTTGGAGTTTAATGCCATGTTATGCATTTGTTAGTAATGTTTAAGTACGCAAATTTAATCAAAAATCTTATTTGTGCCTTAATTAAGTGTGATGATAACTTACACAAATTTAAGTGGATTAATAATGTGTTAGAATTGTAAGAAGCATAAAATGTCCCATGATACTCAAAGTGATTAGATAAGTTGGTAAAGTTATTTTTTTATGAAATATTTAACTTATGATCCAAAAAACATGATTTGAGTAATTGTTTTTAAAAGACATGTATCATATCAGTTTTAACATGTTTTAATTGAATCAAGTATATTTGAGTATTTCATGTTCAATAGGATCGATTGGAGGTCTATTTGCTAAGCATGTTCATGTAAAATTTGTGTTTTCCCAACAAAAAAATGGACCGTTCCCCTTTAAGAAATGATTGATCTTTTCATAGAAAGGACTAACCCATTTTCAATGGAATCATCCCTTTTTACGAATTTGATTATTGTTTTGTAAATGATCGATCCCATGTGAAAATGGAACCATCCTTGAGTTTTTTAAGCTGGGATTATGGTTAAATTACATTCATTAAAGACCTAAAGTTTTCCCTAGACCCTAGTTTGATCACTAAACTTTGAAATATGTTAAAATGGTCCAAATATGTTTTCTTAATTACAAGTTGATTTTAAACCGAATTTACATGAGACTTATTTTGTCACTCCTTAATAATATTAATTTTATAATGAACCCTTTAATATTATGTTTTCAGCTAAATCTCATGTTTTGAAACGTTTACAAATTAGTCCCTAAAATGGTTGTTTGTTCAATTAAGTGCCTAAGTGAATTTTGATTGAAATTTGAAACATGAAAATTAATATTTTGTAAGATTAAATAGATTAACTAATTCTAGAAATTTATGCTATTTTCTTGTATGTATAGTGAAATGATCATTTTCCCTTACATGCTTAATTTAGATAAAAAAAATTCAAAAGCATGATTAGCTCATAATTACTTGTGTGTGATGTATGATATGTTCAGTTTCATGTATAAAACATGTTATACTGCTTACCTTCTCTCTTGATCACTTAGAATGAATGATTAGGAGTCGGTATGTAACACCCATATCCCGTATATCTTTTCGTATACGAAATACAAATGTCACATCACTTTTAAAATATTTCATCTTTTAAAAACTCATAAAATTTTGTTTCCAGATTTTCTTAAAACATAACGTTTTTAATATAAAGGAAAACATTAGCTGAAATATGATAAGAGGTTCTACTTAAATACAATTCAGAGCATTTTTCATACTTTAATTACATGCCAACTAAATTTTTCCAAAACAAACCAGATTGTCCTATAGTTACTGAAGAGTCAACCTTAATTGATGATATCCGCTGCTACTGTTGTACTCCTTATTTGATATGTCTCTTCTTTTACCTACGCATGGAATCAACACACATTAAGTATTTACTTACTGAAGCATACTATTGTAAAGAAATCTTTATATACATATTTAATTATGTCATATTTATTTAGTTTGCACTAAATCGTATATTCTTTAAGGATCCTATGATCCTCCCCAGTTAAACCGTATTTCATTCACAATTATCTTAATGATTTTTAGTATGCCTAGCATACCTATTTTTCTTTTATTTTTTTATCTCTTTAGTCATTATTCTTTATTTTCATTAAGTGCATCCATTCATACTTATTATGCACCATTATGAATTTCAATCATGGCATCATTTCATGCCGATAATACAATATTATACATTTCATTTATGGCATCCTTTCATGCCGATATTACACTATTATACATTTCATTTATGACATCCTTTCATGTCGATAATACACTATTATACATTTCATTTATGGCATCCATTCATGTCGATATTACACTATTATACATTTGATTTATGGCATCCTTTCATGCCGATATTACACTATTATACATTTCATTTATGGAATCCTTTCATGCCGATAATATACTATCATACATTTCATTTATGACATCCTTTCATGCCGATAATACACTATTATACATTTCATTTATGTCATCCTTTCATGTCGTTTATACATCGTTATGCATTGTTATACATCTAGTCTTTTACTCAAAGGTATTTAATCTTTCATCTAACTAGCATGATTGACACCTTTTTTTCAAATGCACAGTTAGGCCATTAATCTTTTACTCAAAGGTATTTAACCTTTCATCTAACTGTCATAATTGACACCTTTCTGTCAAATGCACAGCTAGGCCATTAATATTTTACTTAAAGGTATTTAACCTTTCATCTAACTGGCATAATTGACACCTTTCTGTCAAATGCACAGCTAGGTCTCAAAGTCACTTAGCCTTTCATCTAACTGGCATGATTGACACATTTCTATCAATGCACAGTTAGGCTTCAAAGGCACTTTGCACAGTTAGGCTTCAAAGGCACTTAGCCTTTAATCTAACTGGCATAATTGACACCTTTCTGTCAATGCAAGTTAGGCCTCAAAGGCACTTAGCCTTTCATCTAACTGGCATAATTGAAACCTTTCTGTCAATGCAAAGTTAGGCCTCAAAGGCACTTAGCCTTTCATCTAACTGGCATAATTGACACATTTCTGTCATTGCACAGTTAGGCCTTTAATCTTTTATTTTAGAATAGTTTCTACTATAATAATTATTCATAATATCAATTAACTCTTTCAAATCATTATACACTCTATGGTTTATATATATAGTTCCAATGCAATAATCCCACAATCTTACTAAATTTACGTGTGTTGCACCCGCAATACCAATAAAGAAATTCATATAATTTCTTAATTTTTGCACATAAAGTTCTTATACGGAAATTCATAAACAATTATGAATTCCTTAACTTTTTGCACACTCAGTGCCCATAAGGAAATTCATAAACAAATTATGAATTTATTATCTTTTTGCACATAAAGTGACCATATGGAAATTCATAAACAAATTATTAATTTCTTATCTTTTTGCACACTCAATGCCATTATGTAATCACCATACATATATCAATTAATCATACATCTATGACTTCCGTAACGTATACATGCATACTAAATGTACTCAGCTGGCTTGCCTCACTTTGGTACCACAATGCAAAGTTGATTACTCCAGAACTTGGCCTTTGTCTTTTGCTTTGTTTGACTCGGATGCTTGATTTCGATCTTTTTCATATCCATTAAATACATGTATAATATCAATTGTTAGTATATTTCCTAACAATTACAATTAAACATTACTCAAGAGTACCTATTATTAACTTTTCTATAACAATATTAGACTATCTTACAATTTTTGACTCCTTAGTGTCGATACCCCTACCACGGTATCGATACTACTACACTATGGTACCGATACTCTATTACGGTATCGATACCATTTTCCATTATATTTTTAATGGTATCGATACCTTCTTCATAGTATCGATACCCCTGCTCAGCTGATTCATCCCATTTTAGCCTAGAGTATCGGTACTATTCTATCAGTATCGATACCATCACCCAAATTTTCCATTTTTTCAGCCCGAAA